GAGTAATTTTGTTATCCAAAAAGCTGCTATACATACGAAAATAAACAAAACCATTTTCTTAAACATCAGCTCCAGAAGAATTAGGGGTAATATTAAAAGTCTTCTCTTTAATCTATTTAATAAGGCCTGGTCTTAGACTGGGTTCTCTAGGAGTCAAGCTATCGAGATCTAGAGCCTGTACCTCCAGCAAAGCCTATAGAGATATATAAATGGGTGGAAAGACTGAACTTTATACCTAAATGGGACATGTTTTTACTGGCACTTGGAGATTCCCAGTTGGTATCAATAGTTCACGTGCCCAAATGCTGATCAAAAGTGCCAGTGGCCCAGAGGCAGCTCTGAAGAGGCGTGTGGAGGTTGGCTTCTCAGCAGCCCCAGCCTGGGGTCCAGTAGTCCTGCGGCACACAGGAGGTCACCAGGATTTGTAACATGCTCTGGAGCAACCGGGCTTCCTGATGACAAAATCTGTCTTTTTATGAGCACACACAGGCATTGCCTTGCTACCTTTCTTTCATCCAAATATTAGTATTTGGGGGGTTTTTGGCCCTATTTCCACATGTCATCTTTTCTCATCTGTTTTCCCCCCACAGAACTGGAGGAGAGGTCTTGTAATGAAAACGCTACACACAGTCAGTGCAAGGAAGGTGCCTGCCCCATTGCAATACGAGTTTACAATTCACAATACTTTATGTAATTGCAAACAAAAGATGGATTTTACCAGCTCTTTTTGATAATATATCTCAAGTTGAAAAAAAATCCATGCTAGATATTACTTTTTCAGATATGTTTAGTAACACGAGTGGCACAAAAGATCTCTAAGTAAAGAAAATACTTAATTTCTCAAAATATGGGATTTCTGTAACTCAATAATTATCCTGTAAGGATTAGAAGTTGAGAAATTTCTTTTTACAAAAACTTTCCTACACATTACATAATCTGTCATGGCGTCCTTTAAAAAGAAAATTTAAAGGGAGACATCAGTCAGTGTAAGACATGAAAAAATACCGCTCCCACCACCATGACTCGAATTCGATCTTGCAAGTCTGGCTAGACCAGAGGAGGTACACTGGTACAGATAGGAACTGAAAATACAGGGAATTCAGGACGGATGAGCCCTATAGGAACAGTGGTGTGAGTGGCAAAACAGGGAGGGTAAAGGGAGAATGGGTAGGAAAGAGGGAACCGATTACATGGAACTGTGTGTGACCTCCTCCCTGGGGGACAGACAACTGAAAAGTGGATGAAGGGAGACGTTGGACAGGGCAAGATATGACAAAATACCCATTTATAAACTATCAAGGGCTCATGCGGGAGGGGGGAGCGGGGAGGGAGGGGAAAATGAGGACCTAATGTCGGGGGTTTAAATGGAGAGAAAATGTTTTGAGAAACGATGTACAAATGCGCTTTACACAATTGATGTGTGTATGGATTGGGATAACAGTTGTATAAGCCCCTAATAAAATGTTAAAAAAAAAAAATCTAAGTTCCTTTAAAAAAATAAAAAAGACATGAAAAAATAGCTCTTTGTTCCTTTGCGCCGCATAAGGGCCCCTTCCCAGCCATGACCACACTGAGGGTCCACCTTGGTGCTCCAGCCAAGGTGGATGTGTTCCAGGAAAGAAAACCTGCATGGGAGCTATACCCCCAAGATTTCTGAGTTGGACACATTTATAAAGGAGCCAGCTCTCAATGAAGCCAACCTGAGCCAACTCAAGGCTCCATTGGACGTCCCAGTGCTTGATCCAGGCAAGAAGGAGAAGGAGAAGGAGGAGGAGGAGGAGGGAGGAAACAGCAGGAGAAGGAAGATAAGGATCAAAAAAAGAAAGGGGAAGATGAAGGTGAAAGTCTTCCCCGGGGCCCAGTGAACTGCAAGGAGAAGATGGTGGGGCTCCTGGAGCTCCTGACGCCTGGGATCAAAGATGTCACTGACCAGCTCAACCTGGTCCCCACCTGTGTGCAGCTACAGACCCCCTCGGATTGAGGATGAAAACAACTTGGGAGTTGCTGTTCAGGAAAAGGTGTTTGAGCTGATGGCCAGCCTTCGCACCCAGCTGGAAGGCTTCCACACCCACATTTCCAGGTGTTTCTCAGAGCGGGGCAATGCAGTAGCCATGGCAGCCAAGCGGTCCCACGTGGGTGACTACCGACAGCTGGTGCTTCAGCTGGACGAGGCAGAGTCCCGAGATACCCAACTGATGGTCGTGGAGATCCAAACGCTTATGCTGTGTGGTATGGCATCATCCTGAAGAACTTCGCAAAGCTGAAGAAGCCAGGGGAGAGACGGAGGGATTGATCTTTTGAGGGCCTCTGCTCTCATTCTGTGATGGGGAAAGCAGAGGCCCTCCTGTCTTTATTGGGGACATGCCTCTTATGTTTCTCCTGTTCAGGTTTCCCCTCACCTTGCTGCCCAGGTGCACTAAATATAGTCACACCATTAAAAAAAAAAGACTTGAAGAAATAATAATAATTTATAAATTATCAAGGATACATGAGGAAGGGGGAGCGGGGAGGGAGGGAAAAATGTGAAGCTGATATCAAGGGCTAAGTAGAAAGAAAATGTTTAAAATTGATGGCAATATATGTAAAAATGTGCAAGACACAAGGGATGGATGGATGGATTTTGATAAGAGTTGTGTGAGCCCCCAATAATATGATTTAAAAAAAATAAAAAGGAACTTTGGTGTTTGCAAAAACTATTTATTTCCAGCAGACATTAATCTAGTACTTTTTCATACAGAGCTTCATGGTAGTCGTAATGAGTGCTTTATCATTCTGTGCAAGTAATATTCCAGAAAAGCATAATACTTTATAATGCACAGAGTATTTCTTCATTTGCAATTTTGCCACCCTCCTAATTCCACGAAATCATTTACCTTCTTTTTAAAAGGTAGAAGAACTGTGATTCAAAAATTTACAGTTCTTTCTTGAGATCACACAGCTAGCAAGTGGCATTTGAATCCAGACACTTTGTGCTGGCCAACACCTATTGCCTTGGTACCTTTTGTAATCCCTTATTTGAGGAATATAGATTGTTCTTATTCAATCCATGTAAGCGTCAGTGAGCTGTGATTATTACCATAGAACTTATTTGAAGTGTCTTGAGATGCAATCATGTGTATAATATCAACATGTTAAGGGAAACAGATTTTTGAGACACATTAAATTTGTAATGGTGAAAAAAGAAAACATAATTAAGTCACACTATAAAAATGTAAAAACCCAGAGTATGGCTTTCAAAATTCTAATTACCATACCTTCAAGGGTTCATGGTAATTTTAATTTCCTTGCATATATTTTATTTATCAGTGTGATATGTTCAACATCTTCCCCCTAGATCAAGTGCATGAAAAAGATTAGGAGTTTAAGTGGTAGAAAATTGGGGGGGGGGGGGGGAATTCCTACGTAAGGGTAAGAAAATGTCACCCAAATTTTCTTTACAAATGATAAGGTTAATGCCAAATGACAGTAAGGACACCCCGCATGGAGGCCCCAGGTCTTTGTACTTGCCTTCCCCTTCACCTCATTTCTTTGTCTGTTTGAGGTTGGATTAGTTCTAGCGTCCACTTTTCTCAGGTCTTTTCTTAAATATGACCTTATTAATCGAGATCTTCAGTGGACTAGATCCTCCTCTGGAACTCTCTTTCTTATTATTATACTACATTGTATATGTAGCTGTCTAACATTTTACAGATACCGCGTGCTTCTTCTCACTGGGATGCAGGGTTCGTGAAGGTCATGTAGACACTTGGGTCTGTTTCTTTCTGCCATGTTCCTAGTACAGAGGAAGGTGACAGGCACAGGAAGGGTGCTCATTAAATACTTCCTAAACACATAAAGCAACACGGAAAGAGGGAAGGGAGAAAGGAAGGACGGGATAAGAGAAATAAAACAGAAGCACTAAAAGGAGAAAGAAAGGAAAGCAAGAAGGAGAGGAGAAACACTCGGAAGGAAGGAAGGGACGTATTTACACGAGGAGCCATAATTGCCTTAGACAGTTCACATTGTTCGGTGCGGTCCTAAGAAGTTGTGAGGCAAGGAATCGCAGTCGAATCAAAGGATACAGAAAAAAGAACCGCAGGATAACGGGATGCACTGCTGGTCCAAGGACCCAGAGAGGCCTAAAGATGAAGAGCTAGGAGGCAGGGTAGACTCAAGACTTTTTTTTTTTAAACACCCAAGACTATGTCTTTTAATATAGCTGTAGTGGTCATTTGTTGGTACAGCAGTTCAAAACCACCAGCCACTGTGCAGGATAAAGATGGGACTTTCTACTCCTGTAAACGGTTACAGTCTTGGAAACTCACAGAGGCAGTTCTAGTCTGTCCTCTAGGGTCACTACGTATGTATGAGTTGATGGAGACTGGATGGCAATGAGCTTGTGTGTGTTTGGAAAACAAAGAAAAGGGAGAAGAACAAAGAAAACCAAATTCGCTGCCATCAAGTCAAATCTAACTCACAATGGTGGGTCTCTGAGCCTGTAACTGTTTACAGGAGTAGAGAGCTCAGGCTAGTTTTGAACTTTGGACCACTTCACAGTGCAACCCATAACCACTAGGCCACCAGAGTTTCGATCTTGAATCAGGTAATACAGCAGGTCTTTGCCAGGGGTTATTCAGTTTTTATTGTTTACAAATACACAGACACACTTATGTGCATGATTTATTATTATTTTGAGCGGCAGATGGCTCTGGACACTATCATAATTATCCTTTTAAAGGTAATTTCACTTATAATTAAAGATTTATTTGCACATGAAGTACCATTTTCTATATAGGCACAGATAAATTGAGTTAAGGGACTATCACAAACGTACATCACCATTTCATTTCTAAGAATGTCTCGCAAAAAATTGATCAAGGAACTTTGTAGAACTAAACTACAATTGATTAGCTTCAGTTTGGTGCATGCCATGGCCTAAATATTTTACTGCACGAATAATAAGAATAAATGCATGTAGGATACCCTAAGTCATAAATGATTAAGAAAATGTGTAGACTTACCTAGAACTTTGCTGTAGTACGAATTCCATTCTCCCCAGTAGGATTGGAATATATAATCTTGCAGAGGATAAGATAAGGTGTTTTTAACCCTTTCACCAAAGGTCATCTGGTCCGTGAGCTCTGACAGGGCTGCTGGCACGTAGGAGGTGGGTGCTGGAATTTTCCCACAGTGTCTCTCCACTGTGGAGGCTGGAGAGAACCTCAGCGTGTACATAAATGGGATTCCTAGTTTCAGAGCAACCAGATCACCACAGATTGTTACTGGGTCTGCTACCAACACATCAAAACCACCTTTCTGAAGTTTTGTCATTAACTTGGGGTTATTCAATACTCCCTCACAGATTTGTATATTAATTTGGAAGAATGTATCTAGGAGTTTGCCTAATTCTTTGTAGAAAGCCCAGAGTGTGAGAGGAGTTGGTCTGTGGTCTATCCATAGCATTATCATATGTTCAATTAAAGCATCTATGTGCCTCTTTTTGAAGGAAACAGGTATCACCTCAAAATTCACAGGAGAATCCATTTTGGAGTTGATGAATAGAGTAGCTGATGAAGCCAGTACAGTCACACTGTGGTTCCTTTTAATTAATTCTTCTAGAATGATCTTAATATTTAACCAGTGGCTACCATCTGTAGGCCAAATTAACACATTTCCACTTAGAACAATTTTAGTCAGAATCCAATTATAAAGCAGTAACTGGCAGAACTTCTTAGGCATGGTGATATTCAAGATGGAAACCATCTTACTGTAAATCTTTTAAAATGAAAACAAAAGCAAAATTTTTGACAGTGAATATAGATTATTTTTCAAATTAAACAAAATTTAGTATAATAGCTATACTCATTCATAGTTCAACTTATCGATAGATTAAAAAGAAAACAAAATTCAAATTCTTAAGCATATTAATATTTTTATTGCAATGATAGAAATAAAATCTGGTCCTACTTTAAAAGAAAACAAAAAGAGGCAGTCTATAATGCTGATATGTATATGTACTCTGCTATAATTACTATCATTTATAAAATGTGTATTCAGTTTAACATATATTTTCCACATAAGTTAACATAAAAATAACAGCTATTTTCTGCAAAAGTCATTTTGTCAAAAATACTTAGTACCATCAAATTAGATGTTTTAATTCACAAGGCATACTTATGTCCATTGTTTATTTTTAATAACTCAATGTAGCAGAAGTTATTTAATCCATTTCATGGATAACGAAACTAATGTTGAGTTACACACCCAACATATGACAAAGTAGTCCAATTGGGTGAATCAATTATGATTCTTTACAGGTTGTCTGTAGTATGATGTCCCATCTTTCTACACTTTGGGAACTTTGGAAACTCACAAGGACCAGCATTATTGTTATCTCCATATGGCTCAAATTAGGAAGAAAATAAATAAATAAAAATGTTCATTTATATATTGAAGACCAAAGGAGTTGAAGAATGAACATTTAATTGAAGATCGATTCCTACCCCTATAAAGCAAGAGGCCTTAGTTTCTAACCCCATAGGAGAAGCACCAGAGAACTCACTCTCAAATATGACATAGTTGAGGAGATGTGGCCAAGGTTCTGAAGTAACCAGTAGATTTTTATGCAGGGCTGAGTGAAATTAGGCGGATCCTGGAACTTAATAGTCTCAGATTCATTGACTGACATTTTACAAAGATTGTGTCTCTGAGGAGTGGCATAGACTCTCCGAATCTCAAAGCTCTCATCTGTAAAGAAGATGTTGGAGCTAATTTGATATATTGCTTTGAAGATTAGCAATAAGGTATGTAAAACTGCAATGAAAACTGCTTGGTTTCAAGCAAGAGTTTAGTAATGCTAGCAGATTTTTACTAAATTAGCTGAACTACTGGCCAGAAAATCAGTGAGCTATTGTTAAAAGGTTGACTAGATATGGATTTAGTGATATAATTGGTATTTTTATAGTGAATCCAAATTAAACAAAAGTGCCTATATAAAAATGCTATTTGGAAGTTAAAATCTTTAGGAGCTGCTCACAAAAATGGTACAGAAGAAATAATGTAGTTAAAAAGATAGAAAATAGGAATTAAAATGCAAATTAATAAGTAGGTTTACAAAAGTGAGCAGTATTGAGAACCATGCACATCTCACAGCCCATCGCATACTGGCTGCAGTCCACCAATGCGATTTGTGGCTGCCATCTGACTTTGGGTTCTGGTGAAAGAACATGATGCTACGAGAGAGCCATGTGACAGATCCAAATAATGGTGATTCATTTACCATTTTATTAATAGAACAGAAGAGGAAGAGAAGCTAGAAAAAACCTATTTAGGAAAAATAAAAAGAAAGGTTCAACACTAAATTTGTTGCTCTTTAAGGGAAAGGACTTTAAGCTTTGAAAAAAAAATGCTTTCAATTGGCTACAAGAAATGAAACACTGGAGTGATCAAGTGAGCTGTATTTCTTGCACTTTGGAATACACACTTCCCAGTGCTTGGTCGGCACCTTGTTCATGCTAGGGATCGATTATTCTAGCTTTTCTTTTTAAAGATGGGCGATTTTCCCCATTCAATACTGATATATGATATTTGCAAGTTATGCTAATTTTACGTTGGATGCATCACTTCTTAGAGATGATTCTCCTGTTTCCTTGTTAGTTTGTCCCCTCCCACTTGTTCTCAGTGTGATAAGATGATAAGAGAAACTTGTTCTCAAATGATAAGAGAATATTGGTAACAATACGTAAGCCGAATACATTCTGAAAATTTTATTATCTTTAAAATGTTCTTGTTCGCTCCTTAAGTGTGCCCGTAATTTGGGTGGTTTTTCATGTTGTTGGTAGTATAAATATAAAAATTAAATTTACCTGCTTCAATTTTAAGGAAACATATTGAAATCTGCAGAAACTTTTTCTTATTTTCTGTTAGATGCTGCTTATGAAGTTGTCTGATGTTAGAGCCTGAAAGAAATTCTCAGGCAACCCAGCAAGACAACAGAATCACATAGAAACATGTGCCTTAAGGAATAGCAGGTTACCTAGTGATGGCCTGGCCTAATTAAAAGCCTTTCAGCAAATAAAAAAAAAAAAAGTCTACAAATAGAATCACAAAAGCTGCATACCATATACACTTGTGTATAAGTTGAGTTTTTCAGCACATTTTTAAAATGCAGCTTTTGTGGTAAAATTAGGTGCCTTGGCTGCTATTTGGCTCGGCTTATGCTCGAATATATATGGTACATTGAAAAGAAGTAGAATGTACCCAAAGACTTTTAAATCTACATTAACTGCTGCAATCTCAATTGAAAATTTAAAAAGGAGACATTGTTGTTGCTCCTTTCCCTAGAACTATGATGATTGCATGAAAGCTTGGTGTAAAGAGAACAGTAGTTATGTAAATTTTAAAGACGTAATTCTTGGTAGTTGCAAGAGAATTTTGGGAATGATGAGGGCAACAAATGTATAGATGTGCTTTACACAATTGATCTATGTATTGTGATAAATTGTATGAGCCCCAATAAATTGATTAATTAAAAAAAAAAAAAAAGACGTAATTCTTGATATTTCCCAGCTTTATTACTGTCATCAGTAAAATGATGACCGAAGCATTTTCTTGACAAGTTCGCAGCAAGGACTGAGGGAGAAAATACATGCGAAGCAAGTACCACCGAGTCTAGCACATAGAATGAAATCAATAAATGCTAACTGACATTACTATTGTGATAGTCATGAAGTTGAACCAAATACTCATGACCTGAAATAAAGTAATTTTGACAACATAATATGCAATCCCTAGCAATTAGCAGAGATTAGGAACTCATTGTGAGGTTCTTACTGAATTCCACTGTCGAGAAGTAATCTTAGAGAACACTGTCCTACTTATTTACTCAGGTGTGCCGACCTGACCCATGAGAGGAGAAAGGTCATATGGATTGGTTGTAACATCATTGATTAGAACAAGATAAATTCAAATTATAAGTTGTATAGAAGTTGCGTTACCCTCCCCCCCCAAAAAAAAGTCCCTTCAGCCACACTTATTGTTCTAAATCAAAAAAGACTTCTACAACTGTGAATTTCTCTGTTATATCAGTACATTTCTTTCTTACCTGATCTTTTGAATGAGTGTTCGTGTCTCTGGGCATCAAAAAGAATATTCAGTTTTAGTAAAGACAAACTTAAATAGTCATTCTAAGTCAGAAAAGTGATTAGAAACATGATATTATCAGAATTGAAAGGTAATACCGTCTTTCTAAATCCTCATTACTTTCCCAGGAGCAAATTGTGCGGGAAGATTAGTCTCATGTTTCAGACTCAAGAATAGAGTGATTTTATTACCAGTATTAATTTACAGGCACAATCCAATGGAATACAAGATTTGGAAACCATCAGCATGGGCAGAGGGAAATGAAGGGTGACTTACCAGTGTGTATAAGGAACACTTTCATCCTAAGAATTATTATTCTAACATTGAAAACAAAAGAAAACAAACAAACTCACAGCCATCGACTCAATACCGACTGATGGAGATCCTTCAGGACTGAGTAGAACTGTCCTTTGGGATAGCTGAGACTTAAATTCCTAATGGGAGTACATACTCTTTTTAAAATAAAAAACATTTTTTTTACCATGGTGTTGTTGGTCGGTTTGAACCACCGATCTTATACTTAGCAGATCAATACACAGTCCACCATGCCACCAAGGCTTCTTGATAAAAGCACAAATGATGAGATAAAAATATACACACATGTTGTTACACACACTCAGTTGTCACAGTCAGTTTAGTACCTGCCTGAAGAGATGGATGGACAGAGTTTTTTCAGGTCACGACAGCCTTCATTACTTCTGTTTCAACGAAAGTCCATTTCTTCTCGCTCAGTCAGTAAGGTCCAATTTTAACCTCATGATGTTGCCTGTCCAACGTGTATCTTCATGGGGCCCCGCAAGGTTACCTATAGTCCTCAGAGTGACACTGGTTCTCTCTCGTTGACAGAACACGTAGGTCTTCCTTAATGCCCAAGAGATGAACGTTTGCTTTTGAGTTTTGAAGGCAGAGGCTGGCACAGTGGTTAAGGCGCTTGGCAGCTCACCATGAGGTCGGTAGTGCAATACTACCCGAGGCGCCACAGGAGCCCGATGCAGCACTCTGATTGCATCTGCGTCTATAAAGGTTTGCAGTCTTGGGAGGCCTCTGGAGCAAGTCTGCTCTGTCCTGTAGTATCACTATGAGTTGAAATCGCTAGATGGCAGCAGTTTTTGTTTACGGGCAGCTAGTTAATACAGTCTGGGGAGATGATTGCTTTTTGCAGATGATCAGTGTTAGTTACAATTGCTGAACTAGCTTTTTTTCGTCATTCCCGTCCACATGTAACAATTCACATTCTCATCCCTACAGTAACCTAACATCTGCTTTTCATCGATCTTATATCTTATAATTATTTTCAAACAGAGCTTGGAGGCATGAAGGGAACGTGTCAACAACTATCACAACAGAGACTCCGCAGGTTCTCTTTGCCCGGCTTACGCAGCCCAGTGCTTGACACAGTGTACTTCGTCATCTTTAAATCGCTTCCGATTCCATGAAGCTTTCCACTCGTCAGCTGATAATCATTTCTAGGTCTCACACCTTTTGCATAGGAACCAGCATTGCAATGTGTGCCCAACAATGCACAATTCTTTAAACAGCCGTTGACTCTTGGCTTTTTAATTTTGTTAAAGATAAGTGAAAAAAAATCAATGTGTTGATACTAATGATGCTAATAATGATAGAAACATAATCCTTCCAAGAAATGCAATGTATCATCTCTATCTGGGAATTGCTTCATCTCTATATTAGCAACTTAAGTCTGTGCTGATGAGGCTTAACAAAAAAGGAAATTAAAATTTCGAACACATCGTACCTAAGGCTCCGTAACAACTACGAGCTGTAAGTAACCGAGCAGTGCTGTTAGTTGTCTGAGACGACAGTCACACTTACAAATTGCAGTAGATTGATTTTAAATTACTTTATCCTTTACAGCCTCAGGAATACCTTATATATGAAAGCAGAAGAATAGAAAGGGGCTTGCATCTGAGAGAAAAAACCTAACTTAGAAAACAGTTGCAGTTTACTGTCAGAAAGGCAAAAGTACATAGCCTCCTCAAGTAGACAAGACTCAGATCTCTAGTTCAAATCCAGGGCAGTCCAGCTGAGAGCTGACCTCTTCTCTCTAACTGCGTTGTTACCAAGTATTTCCAAAAGCAATGCATACACCCACATCCGAATTTCAATGCATTGTGCCCACCCTATAATCTACTCTCTCTTACTCATGAAATTCACTGGTTGTGTCATTTCTTTGTTTACTGAAGTAAAACAAAACTCTTTAAACTATTTTAATTTTCCTTGAGTGTCTTTCTGGTTCTTAAAAATCAGCCACTTACTTCTATTAATTGCCTTTAGTAGAGCTCAACCACTAACTAAATACTTACATACCAGAGACTACACTAAAGTTATTTCAGATATTAACCAATTCAGTGCTTTGAGCGATCCTGTTAGATTAGGTCACACTCTAATAAGCAGAAAGTGTGTATCAAGAGCCTGCTGTCCTAATGGTGTCAGTATGTAGACTCATAAATGTCTTCTCAGTGTTACTTCTCTTCAGTCACAAGCTACTTTCTGAGCACATGTCCTTCCTGCCTCTTTTTTTGAGCTAGAGAAGGCAGTCTCCAGGTGACAGATCAGACCATTTCCCAACGGTGTCTTTAGGAATTTGTAGGTACGTCAGAACAGGTACATATAGTTTTAATAGCCTTACTTTGCTACAAGAACATACTAGAAGTCTCTTCAGTGATTTACACAGTTCACAGTGCTGTGTGCTCTCCCTGTCACACAATGACTATCTCTGCTACATATTTCCATGGTCTCACTTACATTGTAAAGATTAGCTTTATGTTTGACTTCATGTTTGTGAAATTATTAAAGACAAGAATATCATCTTAGTTTTTATTATAATCTTACTATCTAAGGAGAGTCTACTAAACAGTAAAAACTTCAATTAGTGAAGAATACAAAATAAAAACATACATTCAATAGGCAAATGTGGTGGTATTATGCTTAACTCATTGCAATACGCTTAAAATTGTAAATCATCTTGGCCAATGATGTCATTTCTCTTAAATCCACTTATAAATAAATATGATATAGCTTAATGTGAAAATGAATTGGAAGTATATATTAACATCATCTTTATAGAGCAATGATTAGTGATATATAAGTGTAAAGAATTGTCATAGAGATATAGAGATGAGGTGAAACAAAGTTTATGTTCAAACAATAAAGTAAAAATTCTTCTATATCCACTCCACATACAAAAATGAATTCAAGATGGATTAAAGACCTAAATGTAGAACCTAGAACTACAAAGATAATTAATGAAAAAATAGCAACAAACTTATGAACCCTAATTGAAGGCACAAACATACTATCAACAAAGAAACACACCCACACACAACAAAAACAAATAGATGACTAGGGCCTCCTATAAGGAAGACCCTTATGTGCATCAAAGACGTAATCAAAGAATTAAAGCAAATCCCACAGAAAAGAAATTTTGGCAATGATAACTAGAAAAAGGATTCATCTCTAAAATCTATAGACCACTGCAACACCTTAACAAAATGCAAATAACCCAATCAAAATATGGGCAGAAGACATAATCAGACAGTTCACCAAAGAAGACATACAGCGGGCCAACAATCATATGAAGAAATCCTCACATTAACTAGTCATTTGAGAGATGAAAATAAAAAAGCAATGAGCTACCACACACCCGCATTGACAGCAAAGTGATAGTAACAACATAACGTAACAAATGCTGGAGAGGGTGCAATGAGATTGGAACCCTCGTGCCCTGCTGAGGGATCGTAAAACCACAACCACGGCGGCAGACTGGCTGGAGCTTCCTCACGCCACTGGGATGGAAACACCGTATGACCCAGCACTCCCTACACTCTGCGTACACCCTAAAGAAACAAGAAGCAGCACATGAATAGATCCATGCACACCCATGTTGATCACAGCCCTGTTCACAATAGCAAACAGATGGAAACAATCCCAATGCACGTCACGGGAAGAACGGATAAATAAACTTGGGTTCATACACACAGTGGACTGCTGAGCATCACTGAAGAATAACGATGAAACTATGCAACACTTCTGACAGGGTTGGATTTGGAGGACATTGTGTTGAGTGAAGTTAGACAAACAATTGAACAATCTTGCACAAGATCACTGCCAAAAACCTTTAAGATAAAAGTTATTATACAAGCCAAACAGACTTTCATGCTTTCCAGGAGTGGATGGTGGGGGAGTGGGGATGGGGGAGACATGACAGACATGATAGACAGGTGTTGACTCGGTAAAGGGGAGGATCATCTGTGACAAAAGGAGGACAGAAAAAAGGTGGGGGGAGGACAGGGAGGGTTGAAACCCATGAAAGTTGTAGTATACAAAAGCGAGGATCTGATACGTAACCCCCCGTGTAGTTTACAATAAAAAGTTTTCAAAAATTATTACGTACCCAAAGCCTTACTATAGTATGAATCCCATGAGCTCCAAAGCGTATCAAACATGTAGTCCTGGAGATGGTAGGATATGAAATTTCTTATTCTATCTGCAAAAGACATCTGATCGGTGAGTTCTGATAAAACAGCTGGAACGTAGGAAGGAGGGTATGGTACCTTCCCACAGTGCTTCTCCACTGTGGAGGCTGGCGAAAACCTCAAGGAGTACATAAACGGAATTCCCAGTTTCAAAGCGATGATGTCACCGCAAGGAAATACTGGGTCGGATATGAGGACCTCAAAGTTGCCTTTCTTCAGCCTTTCCATCAGCTTCGGGTTTTGTAGAACACTATCACAGATTTCCCTGCAGACCGTGTGGAAGTCCTGGATGACAACGGCCATTTCTTGATAGAATCTCCAAATGGTAGCGGGTGATGGTCTATGTGTTAGCCACGTCAGAACAAAGTTCTTGATCACCTCTTCGATTCTATCTTTGCCAAAGGGTACCTTATATATTTCAAATGTCAGAGATGATTTGGAAGTTGGTGTGATGAAGAGGGCACCAGAAGCAACGAGGACAGTCACATTATGCTCTTTTTTAATCAGCTCGTCTATAATTATCTGGATATTTAGCCAGTGACTGCCTTCCACTGGCCATATCAGAATTTTCCCACCGTGAGTGGTTCCTAGGATGCTCAGCTGAAGGAACAGCAGCAGGAAAATCTTGTTTAACATGTTGCTTGAAGTAGCAGTTTTGATGAGATGTCAGATGAATGAATTCTTCTGCTTTTAAATAAAATAAAAGTAAAAAATATTTCTCAGCTTTGATGCAATACACAGATATCCTAAGAGTTTTTAACTTTATCAAAGAGAGCTTTGAAGAGTTTTTAACTTTATCAAAGAGAGCTTTGACTTTATCAAATAGCATTACTTAGAGTAACTCCATATTTTCTGGTAACTACAGGCTTAGGTGTCTTTGAAACCTCTTGCTTTGGCTTCGGTTATGATTCTTATTCTCGGATCCTTCTTTTGAGCTTAACCCTTCAGCACCTCCTTTGCTTTCCACATTGTTTTATACCATGCCCTGTTAAATTCTTACCATTAAATTGTTTGAAGATGTAGAGTTGTTGTGTACGGCACGAGTCCGCTAAGCTCGAGCTAGAACTCACTCAGAAAAGAAGTAACGCTAATGTTAAAGATTTATTCAACATTTTCTATATTTTATATAGTGTTTTAACAGCAATTGTGCATTACTACAATATTTATTGAACTAGAAGAAGTTATAATGATAATATTTATAAAAATACAAAGCACAGCCAGAATGCTCTTTGTAGGCAAGAATGGTGATGCTTTGTTGGCTGTACTTTGGGCATATTGTTAGGAGAGACTAGTCCCTGGAGAAGGACATAATTTTTTTAAATTAAATACTTTTATTGGGGGCTCTTACATCTCTTATCACAATCCATACATTCATCCAGTGTGTCAAGCACATATGCTGCCATCATCATTTTCAAAGCATTCTCTTCCCACTCGAACCCCTGATATCAGCTCCCCATTTCTTCTCCTTCCCTCCCCTGCCTGCCCTTCTCTCATGAACCCTTGATAAGTTATAGATTATTATTTTCATAGTTTACATAAGTCCTCTGTTGCCTCTTACCCACTTTTCCATTGTGAGTCCCCCTGGGAGGGGATTCTAGGTTGATCCTTATGATCAATTTCCCCTTTTCCCCCCAACCTTCCCCTAATCCTCCTGGTATCTCTACTCTCATTGTTGGCCCTGAGGGGTTTATCTATCCTGGGGTCCCTGTGTTGCGGGCTCTTATTGGCAGCAGTGTGCATGTTCTGGTCTAATCCGATTTGTGAGGTCATGATCGTGGGGGGACAGAAGCAGCAAGGAACTAGAGGAAGGTTGTGTGTCTCATCGGTGCTCTACTGCCCCCTGACTGGCTTATCTCTTCCCTGTGACCCTCTGTGAGGGGACGAAAGACATACTTCTCGGGAAAGCATGAGGACATTGAAAAAGACCACGGCTTAGACTAGAATGACACAGAGGCTGCATCGATGGACTGAAGCGTCAGAGCAATAGTGAGGGTGGCACCGTACCGGGCCGTGTTCCCCTGTTGTACTCTGGGTCACTATGAGCCAGAACTGAGTCAAGAGCACCGAACAACGACAACATCCATATTTGTCTGGGAATAAGCAGAAATCATCCATTCTGTTGAAATGAGAAATTCTATTTGTTTTAAGATGGCTTCTTCTTAAATCACAAAGACAATGCTATTGACTGTTTCATTAAAATAGTACTGCTCATATTTATCATCCAATTCGGGTGGGAAGGAGCCAGAGGGTCATAAAGTTGCCACCCTAGACTCCTTTCCTAATGTTATCATATGAACTTGCAAATTACTCGAATGTTCCCAGTAGTGGTTCTCTGTTTTGGTGTCAGTGGTCCAGTTCAAGGCCCTCTGCAGGAAGATTTGAGATGGACGTGTGGGGACAGTGGGTCCATAGTTAGTTTGCAAAACCAAACCAAAAAACCATACTGGTTGTAGCAGAATTGATTCTGACGTACAGCAGCACTGCAGGACAGAGTGAAACTGCCATAAAGCGTTTCCAAGGAGGGAAATCTGTGCACAAGGCGGCTGATTTCTTTCTCCCACGGAGTGGGCTGTGAGTTTTAACTGCCAACCTTCAGCTCCCAGCAAAGTGTTCAGCTGCTAAGCCAACAAACTACTTATTTTGCTGGAGACTTTTGCACAGTTGTCGCGATGCACTAGGATGAACAGTTAATCAGAGTTAACATCTATTTTAAAATTTTTATTTATTTGCAGTGAAATAAATATAATTTTATGTAAAACCACCTTTCTTTGAGTTAATATGTGTCTAGTAGGTACCTACTAAGCACACTAATCCATACTGAAGGCTTCGATATGTGCTTCAGCAAGCAAAGAATACAGCCTTCAACAGGGATTATGTTCAACATAAAGGAAACAAAAGTCTCACAACAGGACAATAAGCCACACCACAATAAATGGAAAAGGATCAACGTGATCAAGGGTTTAATTCTACTTGGAAAGAATGCCTCTGAGAGCCACAGACAATAAATCAAATGGCATACTGATTGGGTAAGGCTCCTGCAAAAGATCTGCTTCAAGTGTTAAAAAACACAAATGTGACCTTGAGGATTTAGGTGTGCCTGATCCAAGCCAAGGGATTTTGAATCACATCAGATGCATGTGAAAACTGGATAAGGAATAAGGAAAACCAAAGAAGAATGGGTGTATTTGAATGGTATAGTTTTTCTGGGTACTATTTAATATTCTATGGACTGCCAGAATGAAAAAATCTTTTAAGAGGTACAGCCAGAGTGCTGCCTAGAAATGAAAGGTTGCCTCATAAAAATAAACAGGTTTTTAGTAGGCACCTGTCGAGGGACAGCTGGTTTGGGGATGTGGATGGTCAGTGAGCAAGAGAAAGGGCCTCAACAGAGCGACTGACACAACAACCACAGTGACAAATTCAAAGTCAGCAACGGTTCTGAAGATGGCAGAAGACGCGGCAGTGCTTGCACGCGATGGCACTTAGGGTCTTGTGAGCCAGAACTGACTTAGTGGCTTGTAACAACCACAGTATTTAATAAATGAATAACTGCACAGGGAGAGCTTTATATTATTATGGAGCGACATATAAATAAGTATAAATTTAAATGAAGAAAATGATGTTTTAAAGCCACATGTTTAGTGTCTCTAGCAAAAGAGACGTATTCTCTCATTTCATCCTTTTCCTTCTCTGAACCCGAGAAAGTGACAATTGCTGCCGGATGAAATGATATAGATAAACACGGTCAGAATTCTGAGGAGTAGAGAGGGCTTCCAGATTTTTTTTGGAGGGGCAGGGGGAGTTGGTTAAGTGGAGGATGTCCACAGGAACATTTTCCGGAGAGCAGTGGTGTCTGATACTCATCCTAGAGCACGGAGGACACGGACACGCGTGATGACGGGAAACACATTCATGGAGGGACATTGTGCCCAGTGGCCACACACACACACACACACACACACACACACACACACACACACACTTTGTAAATGAGCTCTTGGGCCTTACCAAAAAAAAAGCATTCTTTTATAACACATTTTGAGGAATATGACCAGAGTAAAGAAATCTCCTCTTTTAGGACAAACTAGTGAGGCTAAGTTTTACATGGCTGCATATTCTGGATTCCAATTCAAAAATAAAGCAGACATGTTATTGACTTGGGGATGTAAAAAGGCTACCAAAAACATAGTTTACCAAATGTGTGCTTTTAATTACCCTGATTTTAAGGTCACTGAAAAGCTAATCTATTATTTTCATTAAAGTATCTGAATGAGATTATAGTAAGGAATGTGATTTGCTTATATCTGTAAAAGCAGATGACTCTAGAGGGAAAAAGATATTTGAAGCCAAGGTAAAATTCACAAATATATGTGTATATTTATCCTCTATGGTGATAGTAAAAATGTACTTTGCCTGATGGCACAAAATGGGAGCAAACACGACATTGATATCACAAACTTGATCCTTAGGTTTATGACACGATTTTCTAGAAAGCAATTTTAAGAAAAATCTAAAGAAATTTTAACACAAAGCTGCTAGTACTCATCTGTATACATTTATAATTCTGCACGACTATATGTATGTACATACAGATGTAGATCCCAATATCTATATACTGTATAAGGAAACCTAGTAGTGCAATGAGTTAAACATTGGGTTCCTTACCATAAAGGAAAAACATTGGGTTCCAAAACCATCAGATGGGAATATGAGGCTGTCTGCTCCTCTTCTTGTTACCCGAAACCCTACTGAACAGTTCTAGTCTGAACTATAGGTTTTCAATGAGTGAAATCAACTCAACAACAACAACGGGTAGACCCATATTTGTGTGTGTGTAAAAATTAAAAGTATAACTGTTTTAAAACCCATTATCAAATAGTAATAAAAATAAAAGGCCCACCACAGGGTAATATCCTGCATCTTAAGGTATGCATGGTATCTAAAAATATGTATTTTAAGAATCATCTTTACTCTCACCATACATCAGTATAATTTTAAAACCAGTCATCGTCTGTGTAGTCGAGAAGGAGCAGATGAACTCTGCCCTGCTGTCAATGCCCTTCCGAAGAAGCCAACGAGCTCACATTTACACACAACTCTCAACTTATTGCTTTACAATACAGTCTCCTCTGCTACTGTATGATTGTTCTGCAGAGAAAATACCTGGGGAAAACTCAAACTATTTAAAAATAGAACTGAAAATGCTTACAAGGGAAATAATTATAGAAACAAAACCTGAAGCCACAATCTTCTAAAGACTGATAAATTTTTAGAAGAGAATATAAAATAAGTACAATTGTACATTGCATATTGTTTATCATGCAAACTTTTCAATTTCTTACCTGAAACTTCCAGCTGGAATTTTAATATCTCTTTTGTCATTGGGAAGAAGTTGAACTTAAATAAATCCTACTTGGGCAAGAGTAATCTGATGAGAAATGTGATCTGGAGTGAAGAAAGGATTATACAGATTTGCTTACATTTAGCATTCTCTACCTATGCCTCTGTAAAGTAGTTTAATCTTTTGTTAAAGGTGCAGTATTCTCCTAGTTCAGTGGTTCTCAACCTTCCTAATGCTGAGACCCTTTAATACAGTTGCTCATGTTGTGGTGACCCCCCAACCTTAAAATTATTTT